TGTAGCTTTTGGATCTGATAAGGTCAGTGAAATCCCCTCAGGATTTATCCTGAGATCCTGTACCTCAGATTGTAGATCCTTTGTCAGTGTCAGCCATATGGATGAGTCATGGCCATTGCTTGGCCATCAACTGTTTTTCGAGAGGGGAAAAAATCCGATTTGATTAAAAAAGGCCAAATAAGATCTAAAATCTCATTTATAAAATACATGTAACTTTTGGAGTGGCAGCTTAAGAGGAGATCACCTTCACAGATCTCCTTCAGAGCCTTGCCTACTTTAGTCACTTGTCTATACTTCATGGATTTTCAACAGTCACTCTCTTACTGAGGTAACAGTGAGTGACCACTATTGGAAAAAGATGCCTAAATGGAATGGCCAATGGCTTCAAAAAGAAAGGAATGCTAAAACGCTTCTCACATACTTGGCCAGAAAACAGATTCCTTGCCATGAACAGCCCTGACAAATGGAATTTGAGACACTACGTTAGAGTGAAGAAACTGTTGGCAGTTGCTAAATCTCAGTATTTATTAACCTAATGTGGATTTAAGCCGATAGAGACATTTGTGCTATAAAAATGTTTTCATACCTGGACAACAACGTGTGAGGTAGCTGGATGTTTTCAATGGTCGTCTTCTTTGGATTCCACTGGGACTCAATGGGATTTGCTGCTGCCAGGACAGAGGTGCGCGCATTAAGCTGACAGATGATCCCAGCCTATGAGAGAAAACTGTAGTTAGGAGCCTCACCCTGGCACTGGTGGGGAACAGAGCTATCTTTGATTTACTGAACTCATTTGCTCTGCGACAGTCCGCTGTCCAAGAGCCTCGTCACTTCTACTGATTTCCACAGCACCAATGGACATGCCCTGACTTCTAATTCATGCCTAAGACAGAGTATAGATGAATGTGTGCTATAGCCGTGCCTTAGAAAGCAAACCACTTGTGCGGCTTTAGCAGAGTCCTGTGAATATCAAACCATAGTGGATGATAGAATAAAAAGATGCAAGAGCTTAGCTTGTGCAAGATACTTAGAGTGAAGTGAAATCTGGTGTGTGGAAGTACTTATCAGTTTCCTCAATTAGAACCAGAATGTCGCAGGGCTCCACAGACCGTTCAATTCAAGGACCTACACGGCTGAGAGCGGTAATGTCCGCAGTCACAGCAGGGCTGTGACTCACCTTTGCAATGGACAGAGTCTGCTGCTCCATGACTTCGTGGAGCACTGATCTTGTACTTTCATTCATTTTGTCAAACTCATCGATACAGCAGATGCCATTGTCGCTCAGCACGAGGGCACCCGTCTGCAGGACTAGCTGTCTGGTCTCAGGGTCTTTCATCACATACGCAGTGAGGCCCACCGCACTGGAGCCCTTCCCGGAGGTGTACTGGCCCCTGGGGACCAGGTTGTACACGTACTGCAGCAGCTGAGACTTGCTGGTGCCAGGGTCACCGCACAGCAGGATGTTGATCTCAGCGCGAAATTTGCCCCTTCCGGTATGACTGAAATCCTTCCTTGTTCCACCAAAGAGCTGAAGCAAGATTCCCTAACAACAAACACACAAATGCATCGAGATACTCATTTAATATTGCAGAGTCACAGATTTAGTTTAAACTTTTAAGATACCCCTCTATCTCTGGACTTGAAGGTA